AGGTCTCTTAATATTCATGTTATGAAAAAACATGTATATAAATCATTCTGAAGTTGTTATTGGATAGGCATGATATGAGTTAAAAACATGTTCTCATTTAGAAATTTATACAAAAACACATTTTTATCTAAACATAAATTGCAGGCAACTCTATATAGATAGGCATAAAGATGTTATAGAAAATATGATTATTAGGAAAATTACAATTTTTTCTAAATTTATTTTTTTGCTGTCCCAAAGGACGAGTCAGTCGTTATTTCCACAGAGAGCCTGATATTTGAAGCCACAATAAATCATATTTCTTTTTATGAAACTCTGAAATACCTCCAATTCATTTTTGCAAATTATAATGAAATTATTAACCCTATAGAGGTATTAACCATTATTCATTCTTAACTATACAATACCTTACATTTTGCCAAACAGATTTATGCAACCATAATAACTAATACAGACAAAGAATAACATTATTTAAATTGATGAGGAACATAATTTCAAAAAAGGATACATATAAGTACATTTTTTAATTTATACTTTGAAGTAATTAAAATATTAATTGTATCAGTCATTAATTTCTTTTTAAATAAATTTACTAGATTCTTTAACAGTTAAAACTTTTAAACAATTGTAAGTCAAAACTTTTGAAGAAAATATGAATCTATTCAATACATTAAAAGACATTTTATAAGCATGATTAACAGAACCATTTAATATACAAAGATGTACCTTCATTAAAGGAAAATATACATTGTTAGTTTATTGTTCCCTTCTCCATTACTTTATTACTAGGTTTTTTTTTAACTAAGTATGGAGATCATTATAGTAATGGACCACTTTCAAATCAACTATATATAATGTTACTTTCATAGATTCTTAACAATAAAGAAAGAAAAGTATATACAATTGAATAAGAAACAGTAAAATAATCAGTTTAGTTGTTGACTGTGGCCCACTACTAATTTTGTTGTTCTTGTTTTATAAATCTATCTGTAATAACTTAAACAGAGGTGACCTGAAGAGACGAAGGTTCTGTGTCATTATGCGTTTTTAAAATAATAGGATTTTCCATATTAATGTTTTCTATGTGTCCGCCTAACGCAAGACGTTCGCCATCGATAAAAGAAACATTAGTGTCTACTGCAACTGAATTATTTTCTACACTATTATTCTTTTTTCTGATTGAACACCCATTAACATTTCCATTGATTTTTGTTGATTCACTATTGAACATTGAGGAACTACCTTTAATACTCTCTTTTAAAGTCGCTTGAGATCCAAGTTTCTTTTCCTTTTCTGGTGCACTAGCAAGAGCATTCTTAACAATCTTACCATTCTTTTCACATGGCTCCTTTTCAAGTACCGAAAAATTTCTGATTTTCGATGTAGTCTTTCAATCCTTCAATTGTCTCATTGAACCAACTCTGTTCGGCTCTATGGGTTCTTCTTCTGTGATTGAAACAAGATTACTCTTACCCTCACCTCCAGAATCCTCCTTCGTTTCTTGAATCGGTATATCATCTAAACAGAAAAAACCCAAACAAGAATTTTATTAATAAAGTATTAATGTATTGGTGAAATTACATTTAAAAATGTATTAAAACACTGGGAAAATAAAATGCAAAATTAAGTATTTTGTGTGCAGCAAAAAATAATAGAAATTTGATGATTGATTAAGCTACATAATCTAAAGAAAATTGATTACAAATTCTATTTATACATACATGTATTACAACATGTATTACAACATGAATCAAACATTTCATGCATATTATAAGTTAAAAAAAATTTTATAACATTTTATTTCATTATTATAACGCCACATATACGGGAGTATTTACTTTTGTATAAAAATGTACTAACATAAGCTAAAACTTGTAGGACAAGGAATATAAAAGGATTAGGATCAACCTGGATAATAATAAATTTGATATCTTCTGTGAAAATAAACGTGCCAAAACTGCATGCAGGTTTCCCATCATGTGCACTTGGATACATGTAATACTTTGGGCTTATGTTTTTTTTTCTTGTAAGAATGATGGTTCCTCTGAAACGAATTTGTTGTTAAATGCACACACTGCTACTAATTAAAATAGTCAATGTTACACAGTGTAACAGCTAATTTGCCGCGTGTTTGCTGAAGAAATTTTGATAATTTAGTGATCCTACAGTGCTGAAACTGAATCATTAGTACCATGTATTCGTTGATAATGCAGCAGTCATATGAAAACCAATTGATTTATTTCCTTCCAAATATAAATTTTCCATTGATTCATGAACCATTTCCCCTAGAAATTGTTCTTCCAATACACTATACAAATGTGAACCAGAGTTGTTTTTATTCTTGCCATGAACTAAATCAGCGTTTTCTTTGTGTTCCTTTTTTAGTTTAGGATGTACTTTTAAATTGTGATCTTCACTTTTGTCATATACACTTTTCTTCAAATACTCTCTGTCTTTTTTAGGGGAGGATTTGATAGGTGAATTTTGATTACTACACGCACTTCCTCGTCTAGACATTTCCAATGAGGAAGAACTGATTTTTCTTATTCTGGTATCTTCCTTGCTCGAAATCGGAAGTGAGTGCTTCCAATGCCAAGGAAAGCGTTTTGGAGTGTTGGATACTGTCGGTTGATGTTGTTTTTCAAGTTGAGTAGCGTTCACTTCATCCTCAAATAACTTCTCATCCAGATCGTCTAATGACATATGTTTGCAAGCAATGCACATTTGCTTAGTCCAGTAATTTATAAAGTGTATTTGTTACTATTCAAATGTTTAAATATGTGTTCTATGTGTTTAAAAGATAAGTATCATGCAAAGGAAATTAATTTCTCATAAAGAAAAAAAGATTGTTATAGGTATAAATTTGAAAAACCTGATCTACATCACTAGCCGTAAATTTTGATCTATGCTAGTTTAAAAACATAAACTAAAATATATTTACAAAGACAACTCTACAATTACTATTAACTGCTATTTTTCTGTGATCAGATTCATACACCTACATATATTATATTCATGCGTTTTTTATTCTATATGTGTTAATATCATAACTATGCCATATGTTTATTCTTACGTTTTAATTTCTACTTAAATAAATTTTTCTAAATTAAAACCTTGCAAAAAATATTAAAAAAACTTTGGAGCGTATGAATTTGTAATATTACTCGTCGATGACATTTATAAGTAGAAAATAAGTCTTAATGACAAAGATATACCTGGTAACTTTTTGGTCCGGAATGAAGCATTTGTAATCATTGATTTAGACACTGTCGCGGTTGCAGTAGCTGGAGATAACGCAACACTAATGCCAATTGGTCCATCACTAGGTTGACCTAGTATGATTAATTATGATTAAATATTTCTATATCTCATACTCCTCATTACTTATTCTTTATTGACATACCTGATGGCCCAGTACTGGCAGAATTGCGTATAGCATTTGTGACTAGCATGACATCTGGATATGTTTCATAACATGCTCGATTATGAATATCTTCCACTGCTTGTGTTCCTAAATACCAACAGTCATTTTTTTTTAAAATAAAAAGAGCAACATGTTACTTACATTGCAAAGTATACAGCATGCAAAAATTCAAGGAGAAATTGACTGGATACAGGTATACGCGGTAAAAGCCTAGGAACAAAACTAGACTCACTTCCATATGAAGATCGTTGATGATGTCCTGGTTTCATAAATCCTTGAGTAACAAGTCTGCAATAAATTAGTCAAATAATTATTATATCTGTATCAAATAAATAAAAATAATTAATTTTATCTTACTTGGTAGCAACTTTGCATAGTTGTTCCAAAGCAAATTTATTTATATAACCAAGTTGTTGATTATAGATAAAAAGAAGAGCAGTCATAACTTTCAATCTGTTCTGAGCATTGAGTGTTTCAACTTGTTGTAATGGACCCCAGCTAACAAGTTTTGTATTGCACTCTTCAAATCTACGTACTGCACTTTCTGTTAATGAGGCAGGTGCCAGACTTGCAGGCTATATAAAAAAAAATTACACCAATACTGCATATTTATAAAATTTATTTGTATTTATTTAGTGTAAATTACGCGTACTTCATGAAATATGGAAAGCATAGCAAGTGATGGTAATCTAAAAGAAATTGCCTTTTGCTGTCCAGATTTATCCACTATTTCCAGATTATACAAACCAATCAATAATGTTTCTACAGACCGACAATTCTGAAAAAATAAATAAAATATTAGATACAAAGTCTAACAATGTTTTGTAGAGTTTAAAA